ATCTTGTCAGGAGGCCTTTGATTATTGAGAGATATACCAGGGGTAATCATCTTATTTAAATACATCTTAGTAATTATATTAAGAGGTAACTCTTAATATCATACAAGACTAAGAACAACAGCAAGAAGTAATAATACTGCAACAGGGTTATTAATTAGTGATATATAGAGCTTACGTAAGAGTGTTATACTTATACTAATTGATATGATTTATCCATTTACATACAACAACTTTTATATAGTAGCAATGACATAATCATCTATATACATTTCTATTATTACATTTCCGTCTAAGAATACAAATAATCCTGGTGAGTAAGCAGAATCATATAGTCTGATTGAGTTCATATATTGTTTCAATGTGCCATTTCCCCTTTTTGGGCTTTGCTTTAGCCCGTATGGTACCTTTTTTAAAGGTGTTACATAACATTAGTCTTCCAAGTGTGTTATGTGTAGTTTTGTATCTATTGGAACATAAAAAAAAGCATGATTAATGTCAAAGGTTCCTAATGACATATTCTTATTGTTTGCAATAATTAATAATAGTTTCATTAAGTCCATATTTAAGACGGATACATCAATCTTGTTATAACTTCTGCCATCTTGTAAGTCTTCTCTACAAACAATTCATTCTTTGTGCGTACCATCTCTTTTAATTGCAAAAATAGTATTTGTTCTTTTGGTTTTATTTTTTGGAACTTGAGATTTTGGTATTTTGATATCAAGATTAATTGCCTTTATACCAATTAAATTATTTTGTTCTTTTTGGTACATTTTTAAAAACCTTTCCTTCTATTCCAAACTCTTATTTTTTGTAATTGCCTGTTTACAGTAAAGAACTTTAACTTTTGGAATGTGCTGGGGATAAATTTTTTTAACTCTACGCTTCTAGTGACTTTCTTTGATAAACTTTTTATTTTCTTCGTATTGTGGTGTATTGTCTTTTAATTATTGATCGGCTAATGACTCTGTAGTTTCTATAACTCTTTTTTTAATTAGTTGACACTTCTTATCGAGTAAATCAGGAAGTTTATCATTTTTTATTATAGTTGGTTTATTATAAAGTGAATTTCTAGTTTTAATATATGATGTACCTTTCTTTGTGGTGGGTAAATACACATCTTTATTTTTTTTTTTAATAATCAGCCATTGTCTTCATTCTTTTCTTCTAGTTTATTAGTATTAATCATTTATGGTTCTTACTCATGTCCCATCTGTTGGCACATAGAAGGTGATATTAATATATTCTTGCCGTTTAATTTTAATGTTATCTGAGATTAACTATGTATTTGTTTGTTGTGGTATGTTGTTATCTATCTTTACAGTCGTTTGTGACTGAGGAATTAAGTTTCTATTTATTTTTAAATTTAAATTTGATATTGGTATTGATGGTAACAGTTTATCTTCCTCTAATTCTAAAAATTATCAGATAATGAATCTAGTTGTTTGACTGGATTTTGATATGATTTAAGGCTTGTGGTTTTATTAATTTTTTTCATAAACTGTCATTTTTCCCTTTCCAAAAGCTTTTTGTATCATATTATCACCAATAGTTTGTGTACAATAATATCTGATGCATCTTTAGCCTCAGAATAAGACTTAAAATTGTGTGGGATGCAATAATCTGGTCAGAAAAGAATTCATTTCATGCATTTCTTAAGAAAATATTAAAAGTATGTGATTCATCAGCTGAAGCAGAAGTAGGTGTAATGAATACAACAGCAAAAATTAGATTATTATTAAAATTAAGATGAGAAAATAAAAATATTTGAGAAAATAAAAATATTTGAGAAAATAAAAATAAATACAGGATTAATAACAGACGCAAAATTAGGACTGAGTTGGTTACAACAAGATTATGTAAAGCCCAAAACAACATTCATTGGAATAAGATCGGAAAGATTAAAGGATCAAGTCAAAAATAATGAAATAGAAATAAAGAAAATTGAAGATAAGAAAAATATAGCTGATCCATTTACAAAAAGCGTTCTAGTAGGACAATTTGAGCAAACAAAAAAAGGAATACTGGGGCATGAGTTGACACCAAAGATGTTATTTCAAGCTACCTCTTAGATTGAGTCTGGAACTATCAGATATTTATGACAACAATGTTTTATAGGAGATGATTGGATGTATAAAAGAAAAAGAGAAACATATAAAGCCAAAAAATTTAATCTACTCAACAGTTAAAGCCACAGGTGTCCAGTATTGATAAGAATTAGTGCTCCTAGTTATCGGATAAATCGTATACATTCTCAATATTATATCAGATAGATTTAGTATACAAAATTATAATAAAGTCCTTCGGTTTTTTTTATTTATGTATATAATGTATAATGATAAAATATAGAAGATGATCAAGGGAAGAAACATGATATAAAAATATATAAAGCTATCATTTTCAATAACTAAGAACACTAATTCTCAACACTGATAATTTGCATTGTTATATTCTTGCAATTATATTAAACATATAATTCTCACTTTACTAATGTGGAAAGACTACACCCTTTTAATTATAAGACTATCACTACTAACATATTTTATTGAATGTCTACTTTGCTATGTTATTGTAGAATATTAAAATGTGCTGGAAACAAATTGCTAATTATTGATCTAAAATTACATAGGATTAATAAAATACATTATTTTCCGATATGATAATTTAAGTTATATAACTTTAATTTTCCATTACATAAAAACTAACCTGATTATTGACGTTAACTTGTAGCAAAACACTACCTCCAATATATAATATTCAACTTACACAAGAAAACCCTTTGCTGTTTCATTACATACTTTCATTAAATGTAATATGAGACATTTATTATTTCTTATTAATTAATGATACCAATTCTAATTGCCGTGGTTGTTCCAGCAAATTTATCTGATAAAGTCCGTATAATAGTAATGATAACGATTGTCAAATAGAATATGAATATATCAGGAAATGCAAGGTTTAAAAAGGTTAATCAAATAACAAGATAAGTGATTGTTTGGAATCGATATATCATTATATTAAAAAGAAAAGCTCTTATGTTCTTGGCATTGCTGAAGCGTTAGTTATCTTCTCTTTTGTTGGTAAGTAAAAAAAACTAAAGAAGCAAATGGATTATTTAAATGAAAAATAGGGTATAAATAAATATTATTATATATAAGATATATATGTATATCGTTTAAAAATCAACTAAAATATGAATGGAAGCAAAGAGAAGAGTGCCAATGCAAAGCTTGACCATTTAGCTGCAGTGGTAGGAGCAGAAGCTTCATACTGTGACAATGTTACCGCACTTGATCTGCCACTTGGCTTTGCGGTTTGGGAAGATACGTGTAATGGTTCTTGAGTTACAGCAACCTGTAGAGGATTTACTGTAGTTCCAGCCAACGAACCTGCTTCAGTTTCAACCCCGTTTGTTCTGGACGATGATCCAATCTTCATAGTGCTCCAATTATTGCCACCTGTAGTCTCTGTGTTTCTTGTAGCTGCAGTGTTTTCTTTTGAAGACTCTGCCATTCCAGAAGGTGATAATGACAATGATGGCTCAGCCTTATTAGTATTCCAATTATTGCTTCCTGCAGTCTCTGTGTTTCTTGTAGCTGCAGTGTTTTCTTTTGAAGATTCTGCCATTCCAGAATATGAGAATGCTGTAGATGTTGATGAAGAATTCCAGTAATGATATCCTAGACTTGAAGGAGCTATACTTGGAGTAGCCACAATAACAATGTCGATTGGACTACTGCTTCCATCAGAGTTAGTGGTGTAGGAAGTAGATGTAGAAAGAGGAGATGCAGAAGTAACCAAACCTGGGATGTATGAGGTGATTTGGCTGACAGCTGGAGTCTCGACAACAATAACACCAACTGCACTACTGCTACCATTCGAGTCAGTGACGTAGGAGATGTATGAAGAAAGGGCAGAAGCAGATCCTACTAGACCTTCAGTGTATGAATAAGCTATATAAATAACATATATAATTATATAGAATATTATTTATACATGAGTACAAATTGATCCTTCATTTTTTTTATTTTCCTAAATTTTTTTCGAGAACAAAAGTGTTTTCTCTTTTGATCATCATTATTAACGACATCATAAAACAGTCTTTAACAAAGAAACCTAGTAAGAATTATGTCCATGTTCTAACACCCTCTTATAATCAAAAACAATAATGATAATATATCAAGTAATAATATTAACAACAAAGTACTTAATGAAAAACATAACCAAAATGTAGTTCCAGTATCCAGCAAAGATAATAGTGGTAAGTACCGAACTTATTGCAATTGTTGTGATAAAAAGATTCAAATTTATTGAGAGTCTGAATCTGCTAAAATTGAATACATATTGAAAAATATGGATGATTTTTCAATATGGAGTAATTATTATTAAAGACTTCTTATAAAAGTGGAATTTTGATAATATCTTAGAAATTAATGGTCAAATGAATAAAGCGGAACACATTATTTTAAAAAAATACAATAAAAAACATTCCACTGATGGAACGTTTAACAACTATAGAAATGTCAAAGGTTCTGCTTCTGAAAATTATAATTTTATAAAGAAAAGATTTATGTCTCGTTATCCAAGAGATGTAAAAGATAGGATGTGGAAAGAAATCTCGGCAGATGAATTCTGTTCTAACAAAAATGATTATAAGAAGAATATCATTTGATTTTATTCAAATTGAAAAAACGAAGTTATGATCCAAGGGATTCTAATTTTATCAATAATATGTTTTTGATGTCAAAAATTAAATAGATCATCAATATAGATCTTAAGAATAAAATGACCAACTGTTTGATTCAAAATTTTCTATCATTAAGTCCAGATATCCAACTCAAAATATTTCTAATGTACATAGTGGATACTATTACATATTAAGAACAAAAAAAGGGATAGTATGATAGCAAGATTTTTCAATGCGAATATTATGAATGTGAATTCCATCATCCAAAAACTACCCTAAAAGAAAAGGAATAACCTCAGATAAGATTATTATAATGAAGAAGACCTCAGATAACAATAGTAATATGAATACTGTAAATTATCTGTAATACTAAAAATTAAACATTGAACAACACTTTAAATAATTCAAAAAATAAAAACATAACGACCACTATTAATAGCATTAAATCTACTTCTAAAAACAAAAAGGAACAAAAAGACATCAAGACCTACAAGATAATAAGAACCTAGTCTTAATAGATACAGAACTACCTATTCATATAACAAACAAGAAAAATTGGCCGAAAAAGTTATCATATCATTAAAAAGGCACCAAAATACGGAGGAATTGGTTCAAAGGAGGACATAACTATTGTTGGATTAGGATTTCTACCAATTAAGAACAATAGAGATAATATAAAACTAGTTCAAACATATTATGTTCCTCAGGAACAAATCACTATCCTATCAGCATCTAAATTGTATGATGAAACTACAATTTCCTTACCAAAAGGATATAATACTTTAGAAACATCTGAGGGTGAAAGAATAAATACATTAATAAAAAATGATTCTATTTGGGTAAAAGCAGAAGAAATTATTGATATGCTAAAAGATAAAGTGTATCATATTAGGCCAGAAAATCCTGTCGTACACAAATCAACTATGGAATTAGAAGAAGCTCATATAAGATTGAATCATATTCCCAAACGAATCATTACAGAAAGGGCCAAGAAAAATATCTACGAGGATGTAAGTATTATAAAAGATACAAATAAAGAAGAAGATTGGTGTGCTACGTTTATATCTGGAAAAATGACTTATCATTTTCATAACAAGAACGCTATGAACTATTACAATAAAAATAAATTACCAGGTGAATCATGGTCAATTAATGTGTTTGGTCCAATAAATGGTCTACAAGTAAATCAGCATAGGTATGTGTTGCTAATGGTAAATAAAGTATTGAAATACATAATGGTATTTACTCATTGTTGTAAGAATGCTGAAGAAATTAAAGTCCAAATAATACATAATATCAAAATTGTCGAAACTCAATTTAATAGAAAAGTTAACTTAATTATCAATTATAAAGGCACTGCATTTCCAAATATTGAATTGAAAGAAGTCTTAAAAGATATGGGTATTCAATTAATACTAACTCCAATTCAAGTTGGTTCTAATAATGCTAGAGCTAAAAGAAATATCTGTTCTATCATAAATGATATAAAAAGGATGTTACTTCAGTCTAGAATACAATTTAGATTCTGGAAATATGCTGTTCAGGCTGCAGTTGATATCAGAAACTGTTATTTTAACAGGACAATTAATGAGGCTCCATTACAATCAATTTCAAATATTAAATCAGTTATACAACTTAGATCATTTTTACCGTTTGCTGCTCCTGCCTCATTATGGTAACTAATCAAAGCAAACTAAAAACACTCATTATACAAGGATTGGCTCATTGTAAGGACAAAAGTAGTTTTGGTTATTGGTTTTACATATCCAAAACAAGAAAAATTATATTTACAATAAATTACTATATGGCATTATTTACAACAAACAATTCATCATATACATCAAGAAATTATGAGACTATAATTGATTTATACAATAAAGGATTAGAAAAGAAAACAGGAGAAAATAAAGATACCGATTTTACAGTTGATGAAGGTTTTAATTTAAATAATATTAAAAAAATGCCATTAGACAAATTTCTATTAGACCTCACAGAAGCAAAAACACTTGAAAACATAGATAAATCAATGACAATTAATTACCATGACTCTTTTTTTATATATATGATGATGAATTCTAGAAAGAAAAAATGAAACATGAAGAACTCAATAAGAATGACCATGTAGATTATGAATTACAAAGGACGCAGCCAAGGAGAATGAAAATACTGATTTTAATGGAAGAAGAACAGAAAAGTTTATAAATATTGGAACGTAGTGGTATTTGTATTTAACGTTTTCATGATTTAAGTTATTAGTAAATTAAATTTCAGGTTTATTAAGAACTAATACAATTAAGATGAATAATTTCATATATTATGTTTATGCATGAATACATATTGATCCTGCATTCTTTCTTATTCTTTTCTTGAAAGTGTCTTTTTATCATTTTTAAGGATACAATAAGAAGTCAGTATTTAATAAACTTAATTGAGAATACTACCTATTTCTTAGCAGTGTATTTATTAGATGCTTAGTCAACAATTGGGGAAGATGTTACTGAACGCACAATAGAAGATGAAACTAATAAAGCCAAAGATTATAGTATTAAAATAGTCGAAATTAAAAATAGTAATAAAAAGGTTGGTTAGAACATTAAAGAAACATTAATTAGTGAAAACAGATTCAAGAATAGACTCAAATGATAAAGACAGTGATGATATGAATTTTCAAAAGGAAAAACACAGAAATCAAGAACCAGACAAAGAAATACAATATAATAACGACAGTAAGACTAACAATATAAATGATCATGAAGTGCAGGTTCCTGTACATAACAAAGTTAGACATAGAAAAGAAAAACACTTAAGATCCAGTCCATTTTTAAACAAAAAGAAAAGAAGCATTAAGCAAGTACTCAAAAAGAAATGATCAAATAATATTGATCAACGAAGTACTGATGAGATGAAATATAAAGATAATGACAATAATTATCAAGAGAAAGAAAATCACCACGAACAGAATATAGGCCTTAATGAATCAGATGATAATAACAAATTGACTGATGTTCCTTCATTAGATGTTAAAATAGAAGGCAAGCAACTCTTTAAAGATATATTAGCTGCAAAAAGACAATATAAATAAGATACTGAGACAAACGATATCAAAAACATCAGTATAGATAATATTATATACAGAACAAAAGATCCAAAGAAGTTTAGAATTAATTTTATCTATCCAAAAGAAAGTTCGACAAAGAAAATTTATGCAGGATATTTTAAACAAGCAATAAGAACTTGGAAGAGAAAAAGAAGTTTTTAGAAGTATATCCAAAGGAGTTGAATAATCTAAAAGAGATGGGTGTTTTTAACATTAAAATAAAATTAGCAAGGTGTAATGTGCAAAAAGAAAAAATTATTTGCATTAATATCATTTTTAAATGCAAAAGTAGCGATATTTATAAGGCTCGTATAGTTTGTGGGGGATCTACAAAATGCAACTGGTTATAACGAAATTGAAATATCAATTCTTGACATGCAATTTTTGAAAATTCTTTTGACTGTAATGAACAATAAAAAAATGTTTTTGAGAACATTTGATATAAATCATGCTTTCTTATATGCTGCTTTGAATAAAGAACTTTATATCCCACTTCCACAGGATAATAGGGTTGTTACACCATTGAAGAAATACTTGTATGGACTTAGACAAAGTCTATATAACTGAAACAATATATTGAAACAATTTATGAATGCTATTGGTCTTCATGACTCTATTTATTCTCAGGGTTATATATATCGGAGGATGAATTCATTATGACAGCTGGTTATGGTGATAATTGTATAATTGCAACCAAAAATGATGATAAATTGGTGAAATATATAAAATTGTTAAAAACAAGTTTGCGTTGAAAGAATTAGGTTTTATGATACATAGTAAACTAGAAGCGGATATGTTAGGTATAGATTTGGATTATAATAGAGAAAAAGGAATCATACGGTTGATCATTCCGAGCAATATTGAAAAAATTTTTGAAGAATATAAAGAAATTATATTCAAAAAGAAGAAAATTAACAGTGTACCTAGCCTTCGCAAGTATGCTATAAATCCAAAAACAGATAAATTGATAATGGATAAATATATATTAAAAGAAAAAGTAAAATGGCTTTAAGCATTGATTGGAAAACACAATTATATTAAAACATGAGGAAGATTAGATATAAAATTTGCTTTAGGCAAACTAACACGTCTAGTATTGTTTCAACATCCTAAGATAATTAAAGCAGCTAAAAAATTATTGAAGTATGTCTATGATACCATAAATAGTGGAATAACATTAAAAAGAGACAATAAGAATAGGTTAGATATTACAGTGATTACAGATGCATCATTGGAATCTGAGTTTGAATCAAAATCTCGACTTGGCGTTATCCTATGGGTAGGTAAAAATTTTTACAATGGTTTTTTCAAAAAATCTACTATAGTTTGTAAGTCATCAGTAGAATCAGAACTGAATGTTGGAGGAAGATCAAGCTATTTTATTGAAATGTAGAATAAAGGGAATATTTAAAAATACAAATCCAAGCATTAACACAATAACAGATTTTAAACCAGCAGTTGATTGGCTCAAACAGGACTATTTTAAAACACCAACAAAATTCATAGGAATTAAATCAGAAAAATTAGAAGATGAAATACAAGACAAATCAATTATTATATTTAAAAGAAAAGGAGGAAATAGTTTAGCAAATCCTTTAATTAAAGAGACTATGTGGGCTAACTTTTCAGAATTGATTAATATTTTGAAAAATTATATAAATCCAGAAGATGTACTTTCGATGACTGAATAAGGGAAGTAGCACGACTTTTAATAAAATGGATCTCTGTCATGAAAGTTTATAACACATTCTTTAGGGACGTGTTAGAACATGGACATAATTCTTACTAGGTTTCTTTGTTAAAGACTGTTTTATGATGTCGTTAATAATGATGATCAAAAGAGAAAACACTTTTGTTCTCGAAAAAAATTTAAGAAAATAAAAAAAAAGAAGGATCAATTTGTACTCATGTATAAATAATATTCTATATAATTATATATGTTATTTATATAGCTTATTACTACATCAGAGATCCAAGTGGCTAATATCTTAAGTCATGACTGTATAAAATACAAATACCACTCCTTTTCAAGAAAAACACATACACTATACTGCACACAGTACACACACTTTCCATACTGTAGTCCTAAGGGAGGGCAGCTGCGTGTCTGCCAACATACAACA